GTTGTCTTAGGCTGTACACAATATCTTCATTGAAAATACAAATTTACAAGAAAACCCAACAGGCCAAAGTAGCTAATTCTTGAAGCCCAACCTTAAATACGTATGCAGATTGTAGATTTTACTCAAACACAACCTCCATCGATACTTTTTATGCATATCATTCTATAAAACAATCAATCACTAAGTTAATTTTAAAACTGAAAATGATGAAGAAAAACAAAATCTGTCGCAAGGAACATAGTATATTAGAATGGTGTGTCGCATGCTTATGGCAGTTAAAATTTTAGCTAGATTTTTTTTTGTGGGGGGAGGGGTCAGGGGATCGAATACCACTGACCAATTTTGTCTTTCATTTGCATTGCGTGCGGTCGAGCATTACTTCTGCACCTTACTCAGCATTCAGTTAAAATGTGCCAAATACTAGTGTGAACATAGATTAGGAAAATGTTGAAAATACAATTAAAATATAGAATCACGATGGCTTGTTTGTTTGATGCAGTTAATTCTCTTTAATTTAATGCATGCTAAAACAAATCATAGTATAGAAACTAGTTTTACAAACCATTCTATTTAATATTGATCCTCAAAATACTGTATAGAGAAACAATTGTGAATAGTAGTTGGTGGAATGACACACAAATTTAGAACAGGCCAAGTCAAACTATTGATTTTAAAATACCAAAATAAATTAAATAATTAAAGGTAATATATCTTTGATTTGTATATTTTTATTTGTTTATAAGATATATTGTCTGCCCAAAAACAAATAGAAAAATTCAGAAATTCAATGAAAATTTTAAATAGTTTAATAACTGCCAACTTAAAGCAGATGCTAATAATTTTTGTTATTAAAAATATGGAATGATTTTCTAAAAAGCGCTTGTTATAAAGAGGTTGAATTATTTGTCAACTGTAAGCGTCTTTGTGAAAAAATAAACACTTTTCTTAAAATTGAATGAGTGTGAGATTGCTTGTTGTCTTCATTACTTTAAAACCAATATTACTGAGTAGTTTTTCATTAATATCATAATAAATTGCTGATGTCACAAGATCAATATCTTCTTCATACATTGTAGAGCCAAGTATTAACCAATATTCATCACCATCATCATTCACCCGTGTAAAATCAAGAAAAAATGTCTTTAGATACGGTACTGTATTCATAATTAAATAAGACATAATCAAGTACAAAAACTGTAATAATATAACATTTTATTGAGCCCAACGTACCTGTATTCTTTAAAAAAAAAAACCAAACAAAACATTATTATAAAGCAAAATTACAGAATATTATGTTCAATTAGTATTTACTAATTTTTATATCAGGGTAAAATTAAAGGTTAGCACAAAATGTTTTTATTTTGTTCTTATTTTCTTACATACTTAAAATAAAATGTTATGTTATCACAGTTTTTGTACTTGATTATGTCTTATTTAATTATGAATACAGTATATATATAAATTTTAAAAGGCAAATGGGAAAAACCCATAAAACAGCAGACGGCCACATAATGCAAAACAAATTAAAATCTCATTTTTTAAACTATTATTTCATTATCATTAATATTTTTTTTTTTATTATTCGTGCATCTAAAAATTGCTTCTTTTAATATTTTATTATTTTTCACAATTATATATTTCTTTAATGGGACAGCAGATTGGTAGATATACGGTCGGAAAATATTTAAAACACATAAAATCTGTACCTCACTTCTCAAATCCATCTGGCAAACGAGGCCTAGTATCATAGGCCTCAGGAGACAAGCCCATAAATTAGGCGTGCATGCCGTTCGGACTGCTTCCACTCCGCCGGCAGAATTTGACACATGGTTCTCCAATCGAGTCGGCGGTCCGCGGTCGATACGCTAGAGTCAGTCTGGCCTAACTAAAACGACTAGTAAAAGCAAAATCGACAATTGAGCTTTCATTGGAATAATTGAGCTTTCATTGGAATAAGGTTTTATTTTGTCACTTCCAACTTTCTAAACTGCTTGACACCAATCAGCTGAAGAATGTCAGCTACTCACTTGGTGCGTAACAAAAACTGTGAGGCGGATATGTATGGCCATTTACTGGTGAACCTAATATGGACCAGAAGAAGGTTTAAACTTGAGGAAATGTTGTGTTGTCAGTGAATCTTGGGTAACAGTACAATCAACTATTGCTCTTTTTAACGTTTTTAACAAATGTCAACAGGACATGCAAGGGGGCGATGCTTTGACCTATTCATGGAACAATTTATTAGCTCAAGATGAACGACATTAAGGTCCCACCTGAACTAGAATTTATCTGCTGAGGAGTACACCATATGTTGCTGTAGCAGCAGTCTATATACCTCCAAATACACCGCTGGATGCAGCCTGAATACGAGGGGCGCATGATTCCATTATTTTTTTTTTCGTGTATGCTCGAGGGTAACAAATGTTTTTTCTTTCGAATTGAAAGGTGCTTTTTTATCATTATGTGCAATTCCACATGTATTGATTCATTAATTTTTGCAAACGGCAGACAGACAGACAGCAGTGAATACCTAATCTCATTGAATTGGCGGAGGTAATAAAACTCAAAACTGAAGTTAAAATGAGCAGCAGTTTGAGATATATTGACATTCAAGTGTTCTCACCCACCGATGTCAAAGCAACGTTCCTGTCTCCATATGTAGATAATGCACAAAACCTGGTTTCTTGTACTTTTCACCACAGGAGACAACGATGTTACATTGGGTACCAAGGGCAAACTGATACACCCCCAAAAAACTATATCATTTTCTTCAGTACCTACACCCTAAGGAGTTTACAAATTTAATATCTGCAAGCCAACCCTATCTAAGGATAATAGAAAAATACTCTTTACTCGTATCTTCATCTTCAGTCAAGTCCTTATCTAATATTAAGAGACAAAAAAAAACACTCACATTTCTGGCCACTAGAACTTTGTGTCGCTCAAATTGTTCTTCGAGAAACATCCTCTGTTTTGATATTTCTTCATCCATTCTTACTTCCATGACGGCCATATTTTGCCAGTGATCTGTTATTAACTCCCTAGCTTGTTCCTCATTCAAGTTTCCTTGTGTAATCACCTCATCCAAGCATTCCTGCTGGATGGACCTGATTCCAATACGCTTTTGAATGGCATATTCCTTAGAATAAAAAGTATTGTTTTTTAGCGTTTATTACTGCTGGTTTCGTCTTTACTCCATTGTCTAAACATTTAGGAACATGATTTGTACTCTGCAGCCTAAAAGTTGAAAAATAAAGCAACACTGGCGATGAGATTAAAGGCAGTAAAATCGCAAAGTTAGCCAACGTGGGGATTATTTACTTGTGTTTGCTATGGGGAATTAATAACCAGACTCTGGAGGAAAAATTATATGTTGTACAACTGATTTTTCTAAGACACACACACACAAAAGAAAAAGAGCGAATACGAATACTAAATACACTCTGCACGTATTAGCAATAACGTGAATGAATGTGCTGTGTTTCAATTAAAATACCTTTCGTAAGACCTCTTGATTTTCATCTTGTTGAAGCTTAAGCATAAACAACAATTTTTCTGTCTCCGCTTGATGCTGCTGCTGTAATAGCTGCATGATATCTGATTGACCGTGACCATCATGCAGAGACATCGTGTCATCAAAGGCCTTCTGATTTTCCTTTTTTTGTTTCTTTTGTAGTTGGATCAGTTTAATCTAAAAGAGACGAGATTGAAAACAATGTTAGAATAGTCCATAGTAAATGTAAAGTTGTTTAATTCTACCAGTTGAGTTACCAGTACTCATTAATAACTCGCCTTAGTGGTTATTAAGCTCACG